TTTGAAAAAATGAGATTTTTCGTATGAAATCTTCATATTTGCTTGACGCAGTGCATTTATAACAATTCTTATGTATTCCATATGTTCATCGTGTGAGGATGAATATATTAACACATCGTCTATATATACATGCACGAATTTTCCTATGTAATTCCTTAATATGTCATCTACGCATCTTTGAAATATTGAAGGTGCGTTCTTTAGTCCAAACGGCAGCCTTAAGAATTCATATTTTGCTCCGTTTATGCTAAAGGCTGTCTTTTCGGTGTCGGACTCCTTGATTTTTATCTGATGGAAACCTGCTTCCAAATCTAGGGTTGTAAAAACAGTGGCTTTACCTAAATTCTGTATTGTCATGTTGACATCGGGTATGGGATATCTATCGGTAATGGTTCCGCTATTCAATTTCTGGAAGTCTATGACCATTATTCTCTTAGGGTTTCCTAACTCGTCAGTTCCTTTCTTTGGTACTGTCTATACGGGTGAGTTATAGGGACTTTTACTGGGTTTAATTATATTATTCTCTAGCATTTTATTTATTTCTTTATTTATAAAATTATTGTCTGAAAAGGGGTAAGGGTACTGTTTCGTCCAAATTGGCTCTTCAGTTTTAGTGCGGATCGTCGCTTCAATTGTTGTTGTAAATGGTAAAATAGGATTTGTTTCCTCATTAATTCTCATAATTTCTTCAACTTATTTTTTATATTTGCTCTCATCTATTGTGAAATTTACTTGACTGACATCCATTTCTTTTTTCTTCTGTTCTGTTCTCCTGACATACATCATTTTATATTCGAACAGATCTATCTTAGCTTTAATTTCTCTCAAGGATTGTTCTCCTAATATCATATAAAATTCTTTTAATTCTTCGATTTCAAAAAATATTAATTCTTGTCCTAGCATTCTAATCTTCTTGGCTGAGTTTATTGTGTTTGAACCATTCAGAGTTCTACTAACAAATTGTTTAACTGGGAAGGTCTTTCCATTTGGAATATTTTTCCTAATATAATTTAATGTCGAACCTGTGTCTATTAAAACTAATAGTTTTTTGTTATCATGTAAAATAATCTGAAGACACGGCAGATTATTTACTCGTCTAAAAAAGTAGCTCTATTTTCAAATTCGCTTTCATCTATATTTACCCTTAATGACTGATCACTATTATTATCCATTATTTGGTTGATCCTTTGTAGTTTCTGTGGTGCTATATTATATCTGGATGACATTGGTTGGTGGTTTCGTTTAAATGGTTCTCCTCTATTGGGATTGAAAGGTGCGTATCCTGATCTTTGTCGTTCATAGTTGTTTCTGAAGGGATTCTGTTGATACGATTGGATGATGATTATTCGTGGGTTGTCGGAATCTTCCTATTGATGTATCCACGTCCATTGGCGTCGGGTTTGATCTTTCCATGTGGGGAATAGGTTGGACTCCTGGTTGATACTTCCGTTCGTTTTGTGGGTGTTTGGGGTAGTTATAAGCTTCTCGTCGTATCAGATTGTTCTGCCCTTTATAAAGAATCTCCGTGGCAATTGCGTATGCACTTTCTAAATCTCTTGGTTTTGCTGCATATAATGTGTGTTGAGTAAATTCATCATTTATGCCATTGCGGAAGCAATCTATGGCCATTTCTTTTGTGACCTGCTGTAGAGAGTGAGTATTCCCTGGGTAATCAATTTCGCATTTAGTCATTGCTAAATTAAAGATTTGACAGATCTTGCTGTGGAATTCGGATATCGTCTGTCTTCCTTGTATTTGTCTTTTCATTTCCTCTATGAGGGCGTTATAGCTTCTAGTATCGTCGTAGCTGTAATCTAGGCGATTGAGTATTGCTTGTAAGTGAAATACTGTGCCATGATTCTGTAGAAGAGTTGCTGGTTCTCCTTCGATCTTCGTGTGACGTATTATAAATAATGCATCGTAATATGGTTTGGTATCTCGAAAGGCTTCTATGGGACTCATTGCTGATATGATGGTTGCCCTCCATGTCCCTTATTTGGATGTGTCTCCGTTGAACACTGGTAGCCGTTCGAATAGTCTCAAATTTATTTCATTTGCATTGTTTATCCTGGGACTTATCGGTTGGAATTCTTCGATTTCAGGTACTTGCGCTTGCTGCAGCTGGGCTAATTGTGCTTCTACAGCGGCACAAGCTTGTTCGAAGGTTACTACCCTTGCCTCCATAATAATTCCTCTGCCTTGATCAAACACTTGTAATCGTTTTTTTCGGAAGCGGTCCAGTTTTATTTTTGGTTCTCCTTGTCCTCTTTTTCAGGACGTGTGGAATTTGATTTTTTAGGAGTTCCTTTTATTATTCACATACCCGGTTAAATTCATACTCTTGATGTACATAAATAAATATAATTTTACAGAATTTTCTTGATAGGCTAGTCCGATCTAATTATCTTTAGTGCAAATAAAACAAGTTTATTCCACTATTACAGCCCTATTACAGGGCTTGTTTTATTTGCACTAAAGATAATTAGATCGGACTAGCCTATCAAGAAAATTCTGTAACATATCCAAACCGATCGGAAGCAACAAAAACTAAATATAATTTTATTGGTACCAAGATGTACTTAAATCAATTCTAACCTGAAGTTCATATGCTTCAGTATAATAGAAGACTAACTTATTTCAATGCTTAATCCTCTATTTATAGGCTCTGGTTTCTTTTGTTTATTGGTTGCTGATAATCTTCAATAGGAATGTTTTGGTTGCTGATAATGTTCAATCTTTTATTTGCTGACAATGTTTTGGTTGCTGAGAATCTTCAATAGGAATGTTTTGGTTGCTGATAATGTTCAATAGGAATCTTTTATGTAAACTACTGATTCTGTATCATACATTGGATGATGTCATCGGTACAGTAGTGTATTTTCTGTTACATTAACTCGCGCATCGCCGGTTTTTGGCCTCAATCACCTAACGGCCCGCCGCACACATCTCTAACGGTATTGCGTTTCTGCGTGAATACATTTGCAGTTGCTTTAGGCGCCTTCGGTGAGAATTTCTACGGTTTCATGTATCTGGACGATCTTTTTAGTGCACTTGAGGCATTCTGTCCAGGAGTTACCAAGGTCATATCGCTGTTAAAGATGACCATGTTTTTTGTACGCCATAAGCGTTGGCAACGTGTGATTCATGCGATGCGTATGTTGTTGTTGCAGGGTAAGTACCAGCAGCGTTTGAGAATATGTGTAGCGGAAATTCGTGCATAACTACATATACTTACATAGCATAAGTGTTTACCGGCCGGAGTGTAGAGTAAAGACGGTGCTCTGGTCGCCTGTGTGCTAAAGTTTTTCTACAAACATTTGCATTCCGCGGTTTTTGGCAGAATGCCATTGCGAAATCTGTTGTTGTGTGCTGTGTAGCTTTCTTTATTTTATGTGCTGTACAACATTTTCTCGTTTGTTACTTCTTCTCGCATCGCACACACACACACCCACAGATACCAGCATCGAGAAGCGTCGCATCATGGAGCCACTGGCCTCGTTTGCATCTCTGCTGTCCTTTGTGCTACTCGCAGCTGGTTCGCTAACGAATACGTTTTTCAATGTTTCGCCGCTGGTGAAAATGGTCTACTACAAATGGCAATCGCAGGAAATGCCGTTGCTGTTGCCCTTCAAAGTTGTGTAAGTTGATGGCGAAGTGTTTTGCGTTTTTGTTTAGTTTAGCGCAACTAACTATGTGTAAAAGGAAGGAAGGAGTAGAAGCCAATGTTTAAGCCGAAAGATCCTCTGGTTCCTTATCTTTCCACACGATTCTATTTCTTTTTTGGTTCTTCCGTGTGTGCGATTTTAAATTATTTTTAAGAAATGTGTTTTCAATTTGAAATTAACTTTGTTTGAATGATTGTAAGAAATGTATGTTTACATACCTTTGGCTGTAGCTGAGTTTGCAGGGGTGCTTGCTGTTATTGGTTAGATTCCAGACGATCCCAAGATGTTAAATTGTTAACACAAATTTTTGTTTTATATTACCAAGCTATGAAAAAGCATCTGGAAACGTATTTAAAAAAAAAAAAGCCGCCAAACACATATCTATGTAAAGTAAACAAGCCTCCCGCTGCATCCCTTTTTCGATAGTTTCGAACTAGTTCTAAATTCAACAGATCTAGATCTCTAGATCTTCGTTCTGCATCCCTTTTTCTATAGTTCCGTACCAGTTCTAAATTCGGCACTTTAGATATAGATTTCTAGTGAAAAAAGTGAAAACTAATCAGTTTTTAAAAAATACCACTTTTCGGTTATTTTGGACTGGTGGGTATCTAGTTACTATCGGACTGGTTCGTTTTTGGCGAAAAAGATTCAGTACGGAACTAGAAATTTGATTCACTAGTCCGCAGTTTCCCTGCAGGGTTTGAACCAGCATGCTAAGGATGCACAGGTTAGGTTAGGTAAACTCCCTGAAGCTATGAAAAGAGTTCACTCGGAGACCACAACGACCATTTCCGATACTGCGGAGTTTCTCCATGTCTATCCTTACGTGTCTTTAAACCATTTTGATACTCTAGCGAAAGCTAGCAGCCCTTCCGGGGGAGTTTACCCTAAGATATCTTTCGTCAAGAAATTTGAGAAGCTTTTTCGGACTGATGAGCACTCGCTGGACGGGATCTGTTCCTCCTCATCTCTGGAACTTCTGCAGAAGTCGTTATACGGGGCCCGAACCTGGCGGCCATACAAAGGCATAGGAATTGCTCCAACGCTTCCTTGGTTCAAGGCTCTTCGCTTCATGCTTTCCCGGCAACGTCAGTACGAATCGCGTGTAACTCTTTTCAGTTTTATCTCGAAACTACTTGCCTTTGCTTGACCTACCGATCTCGTGCAATAGATTTTCTAGAGCTTTTCATTAATCAACATCCAACGGATCGATAAAGAAATGTTTTTAATATTGTAGCCTGAAAAGGGGTTTAGGGGAAGGCTATGGTCAAATGATCTATTTGATCGAGCCTCGACCGCACTTGACAGGGATACTGGAAAAATTTTGCATTAAGAGACGGCATTTGAAGAGAAGAGATATTGCAACCCGAATCCTAAAAAGCTCAGTTTCACGCGAACTCGTGCTGCTCTATTTTTCCCAATAGCTGCACTCCGGTGCCTCTAAACGAGCGCTTTTTCGAATAACCTCTTTCTTTCCACTAGGCGAAAAGAGTAGTCGAGAGTTAAAAGTTGCTTTTGCTGATTGGGTTAATTTTTTTGTGGCACTTTGCAAGTTACTACGCAGATTGCATCATCGGTGACACCATGTCATACTCTAGCGAGCTTCAGTTTTCTTTTAGTAAAAAAAATTGTGTAACTCTACCTATGACGTCGTTAGAGACTGACTGAGGAAGGTTTACTGGCCTTACTACCACCACGATTGCGTTGGCCAACTATTTTGGGTTTTTTTTTAAGAAAGTCAAGTTTAAATAGGCCGAAGTTGAGACAGTCACCTGTTCTACCTGGAAGACACTACATAACTATTTCGAGAGTACACCATTCACTTAGCCCAGTTGTAAAGCCAATAGTCACTTATACATCCATAGCATTATGGACTAAGGCTGCGCGAATGAACAAAGAACAAACTGCGACTCGAAAATATATTGCTCCAAAACTAGAAAGTTCTAAGAACCTTGGAGTACTCATAGTAATTCCAGTTCTCTGGAGCACAGGGAACTCATACACCAAATCTAATGGGAAGGTTTTGGTATACAGATGGATCTAAGCTGGAATATGGAAAAACTGAGGCTATCATATTTGGGCCGAACTTCAAAAAATCGACACTACTGCATCAGCCATATTGAATGTACCATTTTGAATTTTTGAAAATTGGTTTAAGTTTTTCTCAAAGCACATTTGGATATCAAATTTCGTAAAATTTATAATTTTACAATTTTTCAAAATCCATTCGCCATATTGGATCCGCCATTTTGAATTTTTGAAAGCTGATTTCAGTTTTGTAATCAGCCAGTCAAAGAACCTATAGATATCATACATCATAAAAATCTGAATTTTTTTCAAAAACCATGCCGCCTTTTTGAATTTTTGAAAAAGGATTTCGGTATAAAACTTTATAAAAATTATATTCAACAATTTATATTGAGCTCGAGGCCATTTTTTATATGAAAATTTATTGTGGAAAAGCAACATTCGGCGGATTCAGTTATGCATTCAGCGACTCAAAGAACCTATGGATATCAAAATTTCATGAAGGTTTAACAAGTTTATTAAAAATCCATTCGCCATGTTGAAATTTTAAAAATTGATTTCAGATTCGCAATCAGCAATCCCAAAAACTCTTGAATACCAATTTTGATAAAGTTTAAAAAATTACAAGGTAATATTCTATTGACCTATTGCTGTTGTTAAGGCTTGTTTTTCGCCATAGAAACCGTAAATGAACTGATCTAGAAAAATGGCAAATATTGGTACTTTTTTGTCTCTACTTTCCGAAAATGCCTGATATTTTCATGGGTGCAAAAAAAGTTAAATTTGGTGGGACAGTGTAGTATGCAACTCTCAATTTTTAAATAGAGTAGTAGTCGTTTCTTTTATAGAAAATTGCATACGGCCGATGAACACATTCATGTATGAGAAAAATAGTATCCCTTTCTGAACAATTTATTTTTCCACCAACATGTTAGCATATGAGCGCACATACTTACATACATAACCTATAAACATAAATAGCCCATACAATGTTTAGTAGAATTTATAAAATGAAAAGTCAGCGCGTATGACAACCAGCTGTCGTTGCAGCAACAAATTCAATATATCCATTGAAAAGTGCCTTTATGTTACAAATGTATTTACGCGCGCAGGCAACATTTTTTACTTACTCTTTCAATATGCCAGCCTTTGTATTTGTTTTTTTGTTTGTAAATATTTCAGTTTGCCGGAACTGCTTGTCAATTTACCCTATTCCCCAGCCACCTACCTGATGCTGACGCTGTCCGGCGCCATGACAGTGTTCACCTTCAGTGCCGTGGATGGATTCTTCCTTTGCGCTTGTTTGTATACGTATGAATTGTTTCGTATGTTGCAATTTGACATACGCCATACATTCGCTGAATTGCAAGAACGTGAGTAAAACCAGCAGCCGAATGCAGTGCGCACTAAATGCACGTACATACATACATACATACATACATAGACGTTTACACCAAGATTCTTTACATAACCACCCAAACATGTGAACATGCATGCATATGTATGAGCATGCATTGCACATGCACCAACCAATTACTTACACATAAATGTTTACATACATACATATGCATTTTGTGCATGCCCTACACGTACACTCGGCCGCCCGGCGCTACTCTTCACAAAGTGAATGACTACATGCCACAGCGGCTAGCAATTCACTAACTGCACTCACTCATCTAAGCGAACGTTAAATAGTGATTGATTCAATTTAAAAATTTTTGCAAACCCTTTCGGCTTCTCCTCCTCCACTGCAACTCATCTGCACTTAACAAGCGTAACTTTTACTTTCCCGTGCCCGTGTTCCTCTTCCTCGTATGAACATCTTGGTCATGTACAATCGTGGTTGTTAGTGGAGTATTCAACGTTGTTGCAAAATGTGCGGATACAACGTCGTTTGGCGGTGCTGGTTGAACGCCACAACAAAGTCATCGATCTGTGCAGCGAGATCGCATCGGAATTTACACTCATCGTGCTGATGCATTTTCTTTTAGCCGCGCTGGTATTGTGCTTTAGCATTTTGGACATGATGCTGGTGAGTTGATGAGATGCTTGCTCGCTAGATTACTATACTTTTTCCACTTCGTTACCATCAATGTTTCCATTACCATTACGCTGTTTTTATACCCGAGCGCACTTGTGCACAAGGGTATATTAATTTTGTTCACATAACGGTTGTTTGTAACAGCCAAAACGAATCGAGATAGATATAGACAAATGTATACATAAATGATCAGGATGAAAAAAGAAATCGATTAAGCCATGTCTGTCTGTCCGTCTGTCCGTCCGCCCGTGTACACGATAACTCGAGTAAAAATTGAGACATCTCAACGAAATTTGGTATGTAGGTTTCCCTTAATCCAAGGTAGGTTGGTATTGAAAATGGGCGAATCGGACTTTAACCACGCCCACTTTCCATATAACGGTAATTTCCAGAAATACGAAAACTGCGATATTTTAGTAACTACTGAAGATAATTCACTCAAAATTGATATTTACAATAATTTTTAGACGACAAATAAGAATATTATAAATTTTTGGAAAATGGGCGTAGCCACGCCCACTTATGGTTACATGTGTATATCTTGGTAACCGCTGCACCAATTTCTTCCAAACTTCGCACAGTTGTTGGCCTTCGCACAACATACCAAATGGCCGAAAATTTTTAAAATCGCTCAATAACCACGCCCACTTCCCATATAACGGTAATTTCCAGAAATACGAAAACTGGGATATTTTAGTAACTACTGAAGATTATTCACTCAACATTGATATTTACAATAATTTTTAGACGAAAAATAAGAATATTATAAATTCTTGGAAAATGGGCGTAGCCACGCCAACTTATGGTTACTTGTGTATATCTTGGTAACCGCTGCACCGATTTCTTCCAAACTTGGCACAGTTGTTGGCCTTGGTACAGCACAAAAAAATCGCCGAAACTTTTTAATATCGGACAATAACCACGTTCACATCCCATATAACGGTAATTTAGAGAAATACAATATCTTCGATAAATCAGTAAATATTGAAGCTAATTTATTCAAAATTGATGTTTGCAACATTTCTTTACCAAGAAATACGTTTATGGTAAAATTTTGGAAAATGGGCGTGGCACCGCCCACTTATGATCACATATAAGTATATCGGTAATTTGTACCAAACTCGGTGTGGTTATTGTGCTTGCCACATATAAGCAAAACGTTGAAAATTATTGAAATCGGACTAAAATTACGGCCGCTTTTCATATAACGGTAAATTTCAGAAATGCTTGAAACTTCAATATTTCGAAATTGAAGGACGCTAATTTACTCAAAATTGATACACCCCGGCTTACCATCTAGCGGAAGGTTTCGAAAAGGTGAAAAACATATATTAAATACTTGCGCCGGGTTTTTAATGTTCGGCTCCGCCCGAACTTAGACTTTCTTACTTGTTTAAGTTTAGGTTTTAAAAGTCCTGATTTCTTTCGAGCAATACTCGATTCTTTACCATTATCATTACCTTTGACATTACCGTCACTCCTAGTATTAAAATGCTATTACTATCACCATTATCATTGCAATTACCATTACCAATACCATTACAATACTATTACCATTACCATTACAATTACCTTCTTCTAAAGCTTAAGTTTTACATTTTCTGCTTTCTCTCGAGTAATACTCAATTATGTTCCATTACCATTACCATCAAAATTAAGTTTAAAGCTTCCTTCTTTCTTGGTATAAGTCAATTTTAACATTACAATTACCATTAGCATTACGATTACCATTACTAAGTTTTAA